GGAAGGAAGGAAGGAAGGAAGGAAGGAAGGAAGGAAGGAAGGAAGGAAGGAAGAACAAGTTCCAAAAACCAGGGAACACAACACCACCCTTCTGAAAGAGAGACAGCCTTACAGCTGGGGAAAAGTGAGAGACAGCCTCACAGCTGGGGATTGGTGAGTGGTTGCCTCAACAGCTGGGAGAGTTGAGGTGAGTGTCAGCCTCACAGCTGGGGATTGGTGAGGGGCAGCCTCAACACCTGGGAGAGGTGAGGTGAGGGGCAGCCTCACAGCTGGGAGAGGTGAATGTCAGCCTCACAGCTGGGAGAGGTGAATGTCAGCCTCACAGCTGGGGAGAGGTGAGGGGCTGCCTCACAGCTGGGAGAGGTGAGTGTCAGCCTCACAGCTGGGAGAGGTGTCAGCCTCAACAGCTGGGGAGAGGTGAGTGTCAGCCTCAACAGCTGGGAGAGTTGAGGTGAGGGGCAGCCTCAACAGCTGGGAGAGGTGAGTGTCAGCCTCAACAGCTACAGGAGGTGTGACTGGAAGAGAAGAGCATGAGAAAGAAAAAGGCTCATGCCAGAGACTTGGTGATGGAGTCCAGTGGGGAGAAAGAGAGCCTTCAGGGCCAGGGAGGAGCTATATTATAAGAGAGAGCTCCTCTCTAGGACAGGATGGGGGCCCTGAAGGAAAGCCTTCAAACCCAGAACAAAGGCGGTTTCTGACTTGTGTAAGAGGGTGGCAGGATTTCCACACCATGGCCTAGCCTGGCCTAGCCTACTTGACTCCTGGCACACAGGCAGGCACCAGAAGGACTACAAACTTATTTTTCACTTTCCAGGAAGAAAAACTGGACTTGCTTTTCCAGCCACAGCTGGGGCCTGTCAGTTCTTTGTCTCAAGGACAGACTTCAGGGGAGCGTGGCCTTATTTTCTCAAGGCTGCCATATCTGGTCTCTCAGAGTGACCCAGTCTTCAAGCGGCAGATCTAACAAGTGAAATGTCATTGGAGATTTTAATGGAAGAGGCCTGTGACCCGACCCGATTAACAGTTTTTAAAGCTATAGTCCTTTCAGCAAGTGCTACTGGAACAACTGGATGAGTGCAAAATAATGAGGCTGGACTTCCCTGCCTCATATAGTCTATATAAGTTAACTCAAAATGGACAAAACATACATTTAAAAGCTAAACCGGAAAACATAAGAAAATGATTAAATCTCCACACTCTGCTATTAGGCAAAGCTGCTGCTGTTGTTGTTTTGTACGAAATCAAAACACTAAAGAACAAACCATTAAAAATGACCTTTAAAAAAAGGTGGCACACACACGCCTTTAATTCCAGCCCTCGGGAGGCAGAGGCAGGCAGATCTCTGTGAGTTCCAGGTTAGCCAGGGCTTCATGGTGAGTCCCTCTCTATTAATTAATTAGCTAATTAATAACCAGTGTTGAAGTCTGGAGAAACTTACATGTTGGACCCTGCTACTAAGGTTGCAGTTCTCCGTGGCCAGAAAGCCAGCAAAGCTCAGCAAAATGGAGGACTCCCTTTGTGAGCAGGACTCCTCTTCTCCGCCTGATCTGAGGAGACCGGATCCCCACACCCTCTACCTGAAGACAGTCATGCAGCCCTTCGGGAAATTACAGGTCCCACTCCCTTTCTCCTGATAGAACCTGCTCAGCCAGCACCTGGGATTCCTGGAATGTCTCCTCAGGCAAATGAGGTATCCCAGGACCGCAGCCCTTTAGCCAATGACATTGGCCCACCCTGGATTTTCCCCACCCGCTCCCCAAAGTTCTATAGAACCCTCCTTCACCCTGAGTACAACTGATCTGCCTCCCTTCGGCTGATCCCAGAAGGTCATTTCTGTCGGTTGTCATTTCGGTACGGGCAACCGAACCCCCAGTTCATTGCTTCTGCTCCCTTGTCCCTGAGGAGCAGTGGCCAACGGCCCCAGAAACAAGGGAGAGCTACACTTACATGCTGTCATTAAAAATGGAAAATGTTCTCTATGAAGAGACATCTAATCATTTTTAAAAGCAGGATGGGGGCTGGAGATACTGCTCAGTGGTTAGAGCCATACTGCTCTGGCAGAGGACCAGAATTTGGTTCCCAGGCCCCATGTCACATGGCTCAAAACTGCCTCTTAACTCCAACTCCAAGAGAATCTGATACCTCTGGCCTCTGAGGACACCTGCATTCACATGTACATGCCTACACCCAGATATACACATCATTCTTTTAATTAAGTAAAAATAAAAAAAGATGTTAATGAAGAAGGCCTGCCTGCTACATGCTACAACATAGATAGGCAGCGAACATATTTATTATATGAGTGAAAGAAGACACAAGGAGGCCACATGCTGCGTGCTTCCATATGTAGGAAATGTCCAGAATAAAACCACAGAAGGCAAAATGCAGATTACTGGTTGCCAGGAGCTAAGAAAAGGGAGGAGGGCTAGACAGAGGGCCAATGATGGAGAGTCCTGGCCGCTCTTGAGGAGTACCCCCAAGTTTACTGCCTCAACTCCAGCTCCAGGGGATCCATTGCTCTCTTCTGGCCTCTGTAGAAACCTATACACACACAAGTTAAAATAATAAAAATAATCTTTTAAAAGGGGAATGGATGAATAAGAGGCCGTAGGTATGGGGTATTTTTATTCTATGTGTGCACGATAGTGGAATAAATCTAAAATCACGTAGTGGTGAAGGAAGGTCACCCAATCTTGTGCAAATACTCGAGCTGTTTAGCTGTGTGCTGTATACTTTAAAGGGGGGAGGGGTTTACAGATGAACTGTAGCTGGGGAAAGCTGTTGTTTAAATTACTCAAGCTGGGGAGGGAGCAATTGGCAATATTCTTGGCACAGCACCACATAGACCAGACGTAGCGGCGCCCCGGTAAACCCAGCACCTGGGAGGCAAGAGAATCAGAAGCTCAAGGTGATCCTTCGCCACATG